AAGGACTGTTGGGCTTGAGGGTCTGAGGCTATATGCTTCCATCACAGGAGTGAGTAGTCTGGAAGCAGGCCTCAGAAGGCCAGCCAGGACTTAGGAAAGGTAAGACCAACCAACAGAATGTCCTCCTCCCCTACTGGCTCCTCTAGGCACCCCTTTCCAGAAGGAATCTGTTAAGGATGAGGTGTGCCCAATGGTCAGAAGAGATGATGGGGATGAAGGAAGCACTGAATCCCGTCTCCCTGTAAAGACCAGAAGGCCAGTGTGGTCCAGGCCTGGAAAGTACAGGAATGGGCCATAAGAGACCCCTGATTCCATCCTAATCTCTTAACTGCTGTGTGATGTTGGGCACACCTCTCCCCTTCTCTGGGCCTCGATACCCCCATCTGCCAAATCCAGGATTGTGCCAGATGCCCTCCAAGGGCATCTTTCATCTGCAACTTAAGGTGGTTCTGGGGCATCTTAGGTGTGGGCTGTGCTAAGAAATGAGCTGCCACGTGGTACAGAAAATGACATGTACATGATATTCCTGCAAGAAGCTGGCAAACCATGTCACCTGAGACTCTCCACAGGGTTCCAGTAAGAAGCCATTTAACCTTGCTAAAAAGCCAAAGGTGAATTAAAAAAGAGTAAGTTTCCGGTGAAGAGATCTGACAAACACTACCTCAGCCAGGTGATCAAGGTCAACATAAACAGTGGTAAGTCATGTAAGTGCCCTTTATATGACGTGATGAGAATGGCACTTTACCTCTGTGGTCTTCCTCCCAAAAACCCATAATGCAGTATAACCAGGAGAAAAGCATCAGATAAATCCCAATAGAGGGAATCCTACAAACTGCCAGTACTCCTCAAAACTGTCAAGGTCATCAAAAACAAGGCAAGTCTGAGGAACTTTTATAGCCACGAGGAGCCTAAGGAGACATGATGACTGAATGTGGCGTCCCAGATGGGACCTTGCAACAGAGACAGCAAACCTGAACAGTGTATGGACTTTAATAATAACACATCAAGGGGCTGGCCCCGTGGCCGAGTGGTTAAGTTCGCGCACTCCGCTGCAGGCGGCTCAGTGTTTTGTTGGTTCGAATCCCGGGCGCGGACATGGCACTGCTCATCAAACCACGCTGAGGCAGTGTCCCACATGCCACAACTGGAAGGACCCACAACGAAGAATACACAACTATGTACTGGCGGGCTTTGGGGAGAAAAAGGAAAAAAATAAAATCTTAAAAAAAAATAATAACATCAATATTGGTTCATTAATTCTAACAAATGCATGATACTAATGTAAGATGTTAATAATAGGGGAAGTTGGGTGCGGAGGGTATGGGAACTCTGTGTTATCTTCACAATTTTTCTATAAATCTAAAACTGTTCTAAAAAACGGTTTATTTTATTTTATTTATTTATTTTTTTTGAGGAAGATTAGCCCTGAGCTAACTGCTGCCAGTCCTCCTCTTTTTGCTGAGGAAGACTGGCCCTGAGCTAACATCCATGCCCATCTTCCTCCACATTATATGTGGGACGCCTACCACAGCGTAGCTTGTCAAGTGGTGCCATGTCTGCACCCGGGATCCGAACCGCCGAACCCCGGGCTGCCGAGAAGCGGAAAGTATGCACTTAACCGCTGCAGCACCGGGCCAGCCACCCCACCCCCCCCCAAAATGGTTTATTTTAAAAAAGAGCTAAGATGAGCAAAGTCTTGGCAAATATTTATACAAATACATCCCAGGGAGAGAGCAAGGAGAATGCAAAGTGGGTATTTCATTTAAACTGAGATTCTACACATTTCATTGGAACTTTGGCAAGTTTCAATTTTTTAGGTAGCATATATGAATTCAGTTTGGAAATTGCTTCATTAAACTGAGAATTCCAGCAGGAAGAGAGAGAGCAAGAGTTTGTGACAAAGATGACTAGAATGACCCGGAATGGGGGTGGTGGAGGGTGGAGAGCAGCAAGAGACTCTGCCGTTGGGTCAGCTGAGTGGAGCTGGGTCTTTGCCCGTGACAGAGAACTGCACCGAGGCTGTGGCTTAAAGATACCCCGGTGCGTTCAGTGTTTTCACTGAGCGCTGAGAAATGACATGGGTAGAAAAATGACATAGAACATGACTCTAAACAAGGTGTCCTGGGAAAGAACAGGTTCACGGTTAGGACACCTGGACCTGTTCCTGGCTCTAAAAGCCCTCAATTAGCTGTGTGCTCTTGGGGAAGTCATCACTTCTCAGTTTTCTCATCTGTAAAGTGGGTGTTTGTGGGGGTGTGGGGGCGCACTGGCTAGGGTTAGCTCCCATGTAGTCAGCATTTATCATGGGCCAGGCTTTAGGCTAAGCAATCTCAAGCCACCCTTCAAGGATTTTATTAGTGTCCCCATTTTTCAGATTAGGAAAACAGAAGCCCACAGAGGCCCCATCAGTGCCAAAAGCCTCGAGTCCAGTACGTGGCCGAGCTGCCTTTGCACTCAGGTCTGCCCCTAAAGTCTATTCTTCACCATTCCCGGTGCTCTTCTCTCAAAGGGTCTGGCCATCCCTGACACTGCATGAGTTGGCACTCTCATTTCATTAAGGGTATATGTTGCTCAGTCAAGTCTCAAACCTGGTCTTAAAATACAGCTGAAAATAGGGTGTCTCTTGCTCTGGCCTGCAGAGAGGGCATAACTGAGCTCTGGGAGAGCAGCATTCCTGGTTTCTCCACAGAAGCCAGAGAGGGCTGCTCTGACCAGGCCCGCTCCCACCTCCCTGGTGGCCCCGCTGGGATCCCAGCTCATCTGGCCCTGTTTGCTGCCTTAACCAAGATGATAGGCTTCAGGTGTTTTTTAAATTAAAACTGTTTTTTTCTGTTCATCTCTTTTCCAGATGTCACTAACTCGAGGGAACCTGTCTTTATTTATTGGCTCTTTCCCGTGCAGAATCCAAGAGAGTCTCCCTCCGGCTGAGACCCCCAGGAAGGAGGTCACACGTGGGGGTGATTTGAACCAGGACGGCGGGAATGTGTGTTCCCCAGGGGCTCAGGTCAGGGGTCATGGTGGAAACCATGGGAAATGGGGTTGCCACTAGGGTTTTCTCCTGGCCACGTGGCACATGTGCTGCTGATGTGAGGCCTGCCATAGGGTCACCTTGTTGTGACTTTATGAAGGGCAGATGTGTCACTGGGTCTGTGTCTTTCGCATGGTAAGTGCAGTGGAGCGGAGCGTTCGCCATTTGCTTTCCTACTAGACAGGAGATGGAGAGCTGCCTGACCAAGAACCAGCCGGGTCCTGGATGACACCCAGAACTGTTCTCTCCCCCGTGCCCCTACACCTCCCTCTGCCCAAACCTAAGCCTCTCTCCCCTTAGTGGTTGCCGCAGCCTCTCCACCCAGGCTTCCCATCTCCACCCCTGCTCTCTCCCAGCATCCTCCAATGGTAGCCAGAAAGATCCATCAAAAACTCAAATCTGACCAGATCCCCCACCCCGGCTTCTAACACTCCAGGCTGCCTCTTTCCCAGCAGGATGAAGTCCAAACTCCCTGGTCAGCCACACAGGCCCTTCCCAAATCTGTCTCCAAATCCTCCTGCTTCCTCCCTCTGCTCACAGCGGGAATGGCCTTGAGCTCCCCCAGAACAACACCCCCTCTCATGCCTCACCTTCCCCTCTGCCTGGCACCCTTCTCCAAGGGGCCCTGCTCAATGTCAGTACCTCTTGGAACCTGTCCACCCCCTGCTCCTCTCAGACATGCAGAGCCCCAGCACACATCCCCGCTGAAGCATGCATTGCACCAGACCGCCGCTGTCTACTTATGGTCCTGGCAAACTCCCTGAGTCACCCAAAGCCTCTTGAGGGCAGGGGCCTAATCCCATCCATGATGGTATCCTCAGTGCCCAGCACAGGCTAGGCTCAGAGCAGGCACTTGATGGTGCTGGCTGAACAGATGTGTGGGTAGAAATGAGGCTGATGCCAACTGCTCAGGGGCTAGAACATTTGTTTTCCCAGTTTAGGACCACCAGAGATTGCCCTACTCCAAAGATCCCTTGGACAAGGTGCTCCTGAGGGCTGTGTACCCGATGTCCCCTCTTGTCACTCTTAAGCATTTTGTGCTGAAATGAAAGGCCATGATGTTCCTGAAGTAGATAAAAAGATCTGGTGCCCTGACAGACATTCCAAGGGGATGATTTTGAAGACACTGTGCGCGTGTTCCTATGGGGACATTTCCAGGGATCAGTTTGTGGTGACATTTCACAGACTTCACATCCACTCTAGTTCCTCCTCCAGCTATGAGAGGTTGAGGTTGAGGAGCCAGGAGACCCACAATGTATGGGGCGCTGGGCTGGGGCAAACATGAGTTGGACAAGGCCTGCCCTTGGGGAGCATCCAGTTCAATGGGAGAAGCAGCCCCAGGAGCAAATAAGCACGTCCTGAGGCAGTGAGTGTCCAGTGCCCTGTAGAGGCCAACAGTGAGGGCTGTGGGAGTCAGGAGGGACGTCCATTCTCACACACACTCCCACCGCCTTGCTATCTGGTCCACTGTGTGGCATCCTCCCCTTGCACATCTGGTACCAGAACATTCCCTGCACTCAAGACTGTTTCTACAGAGTTTTGCAGCCTTGCTGCAGGACTCTGCTCTCCTCCCACCTCCTGAGCACCCCAGTCCCCCTCCCGTGAACTCCTATAGAAGGGGCTATCTGTCCCACTCACGTGGGAGCAGCCCCCTCATCTTACAGATGAAAGAACTGAGGGCAAAGAAGCAGCACCACTTCACTGAAGTCCTGAGGGAGGGGGCAGGGGCTGGGCCTTGAGTGCAGGCCTCTGGATTCCCAGACAGGCCCTCACCTGCCCCAGCTGCCCCTCCCTGTTGGCTCTGCCTCGCAGATGTGTTTCCCCTTCTCTGGGCCTCAGGTTCCCCATGTGTCCATCAAGGGGCTGGAGGAGCTTCCTGACCTTGGGGGGCCCTGTGGCTCTGGGATCCTGTGACTTTAGGCACCACCTGTGTCCTCGGCCCTGGACAGAACTGAAAGAGGCAGTGCCTTACCCCTTGCTCCTGACAGATCTGCGTCAGTCTCTCCAGCTGCTCATCTTGGATGACCTTGGCCTTCTCGTACTGCTGGATGACCATCTCCATCTCCACCTTCACAGGCAGGACGTAAGCTGGAAGACAGAGACAGACCTGTGAAGAACTTGGCAGTGGCAGGGCTAGGGCTGGGGAGGGGCTGGTCCCAGCATTCAGCCAGCAGCAGGTTCAGGCAGTTCCCAGAGGCTCTGGGGTCAGGGGGCACTGAGGATATCCAGGTACACAACAGCATCCAGAAAGTATAAGAGGGCCAGAACCCCAACACATGGAGGCGAGATATCTGTTAGCCTCCTTTTCCATAGAGATAGACTCTTAATTTTCGCTGTGTACACACCTGCCAGAGATAAGGACTATATTTTCCAGTCTCCTTCAGAGCTATGGGCAGCCATGAAACCACATTCTGGACAAGATGCAAGTGGAGCTCTCATGCAGCAGCTTCCAGAAGCTTTTCTTAAAAGGCAGTTGGGGAAGTGGAAATATTGAAACCCTCATACATTGCTGGTGGGAATGTAAAATGGGGCAATCTCTCTGGAAAACAGTTTGGCAGTTCCTTAAATGGTTAAACAAAGAGTGACCACATGACCCAGCAATTCCATTCCTAGGTACCTAAGAGAAATGAAGAGACATGTCCATGCAAAAACCTGTACATGAGTGTTCACAGCAGTCAAAAGTGGAAAGAACCTGGGGCTGGCCCCGTGGCCGAGTGGTTAAGCTCGCGCACTCCGCTGCAGGCGGCCCAGTGTTTCGTTGGTTCGAATCCTGGGCGCGGACATGGCACTGCTCATCAAACCACGCTGAGGCAGCGTCCCACATGCCACAACTAGAAGGACCCACAATGAAGAATATACAACTATGTACCGGGGGGCTTTGGGGAGAAAAAGGAAAAAAAAATAAAATCTTTAAAAAAAAAAAAAAAAAAGTGGAAAGAACCTAAATGTCCATCAACTGATGAATGGATAAATAAAATGTGGCATATCCACAAATGGAATGCTATTCAACAATAAAAAGGAATAAAGGAATAAAATAAAAAGAAAAAAGGATACATGCTAGAACATGGATCAACCTTGAAAGCATTACGCTAAGAGAAAAAAGCCAGACACAACAAATCACATATCATATGATTCCATTTATATGAAATGTCCAGAAGAGGAAAATCTACAGAGACAGGAAGTAAATTAATGGTTGCCTAGGGCTGAGGAGGGAATGGAGAGTGACTGCTAATGGGTATGCGGTTTCTTTTTGGAGTGATGAAAAACCTCTAAACTTAGATTTTGGTGATGTTTGCACAACCCAATGAATATTCTACAAACTATTGAATTGTGCACTTTAAATGGGTGAGTTTTATGGTGTGTGAATTATATCTCAATGAAGATGTTTAAAAAGAAAAGGCAGCTGGGACTTTCTTTTTGCCTCCTTATCTTTTTCCTCCCTTCCTTCGTCCTACTGGCTGAAATGAGGATGTGATGGCTGGCACTGAAGCAGCCATCTTGAACCATGGAGAAGCTTTGGAAAGTAGGCAATGTGCAGCAGAGCAACAAAATAGGAGGAGCCTGGGATTGTGACTGCAGAAAGCACTATATCAACCCTGGCCTGCCTACCTACAGACTTTCATGTGAGAGAAATAAACTCCTGTTTTGTCTAAGTCACTGTTATTCTGGGTCTCTGTTACTCACAGATGATCCTACTTATAAGTGACACATACACTGAGACCCAGAGGAGAAAGCCTGGACTCTGGGTTGGAGGGTCCCATGATCTCCCAGCCAGTGGCAGCCCCAGAGACCTCTCCCTTGGGCAGTTCTCCGGGTTCTTGGAAGTTACGATATCAACTCCTGACCTGACCTTGGCCTCTGCCCTTCACACTCTTCTTACACCTCTCAGAACTCAGCCCTCTGGATTCTTCAGAAACCTTAATCATATGCCTCTCTTGCCACTGTATTCTAGAACTCTCCATATCTCTACTCTCCAAGTCCCCTTTCCACCCACAGCCTCCCAACCTCCAGATGTTCTCTGGCTATTGCAGGGATCATGAAGAGAAGAGAAATTAGGATTTTTCTGTTTGTTTCCAAATTTGAGTGCGGCCCACATGTCCATAAGACCTGTCTCCAGGCCTCAGAGGCTGCCCTAAGCAGCTGTGCCTCCTTGGATCTCTGTTGAAGCCAGTTCACACCCAGGGCAAGAGTAGCAAATTAACACCCATCTGTTCACGCAGCACATCCTCTCATGAGATTCCCAGGGGCATGGCAATGCCTGACGTGTCAGGAAAAAGGGGGAACAGCTGGGAAGAGCGCTCACAATAGGAGCTGTCAAGATGCATCAGTGTGAGAGTGTCCAGCTGTCCACAGCTGGCAGAGAAGAGCCAGAAGGCAGTGTTCCTGCCCTGAAGGGAGCAGATATTCTCATGGACAAGAACAGGGTCCTGAGCAGATGGGGAAGGATGGACTAGCTAAGAGAGCACTGGTGAGTGTCAAGGGTCCTGGGCTCCACTTCTGGCTCAGAGCCAGCTTTGCTATGTGACCTTCATTCCTCTTGGCCTCAGTTTCCCCATCTGTCAAATGAGAGGAATGGACTAGATGACCTCCCAAAGACTTCCCAGCTTTGGCCTTCCAAGGTTGGACTTGATCACATTCCAGTTTGAAGATTCTGAGTTGGGGGCTCCTTGACGAGATGTTAAACCCCACCGTGTTCACAGAGTGGGATTTGGGGGTGGGTGCCCAGCCCAGGGGATGAGAGACCCTAGAGGCCGTCCTTCCTGCCTTGTACCCACTGGGCGCATACTGTTGGGGTATTCTCATAGCCACAATTTCTGTCATTTGCAACCAAAATTCAGGGCTGGAGTGACCCTAGAGTCTATATGCTAGATGGTATATACTGTATAGTATACACTATATACTTATATATAAGACTATACAGTCTGTAGTCTTAATAGTCTATTCCAGTAGTTTTAAACTGCTCCAGAGGCCCACAAGGTCCTTAGAGACACCTTGGGGGAGAAGGGGGAGGGCAAGAAGGAGGGCTCTGGGCCCCCTCCACTCCAAGTCAACCAAAAAAGCCCCATTTTCAATCTGTTTTTAACACTGGTATCTGTATAAAATTTTGTAGAAGAAAGGGCTTTGCTGCTATTAAAAAAAAAAAAAAAAGCTTGGGAATCATCATCTGTATAACCTCCTTGTCATGCCTTGCCCCTCTAGGTGGCCGTCTGGCCTCTGGGTGCCCACACTCCAGCAGAAGCCCACCTCCTGGAGAGGCAGACCAGGCCACATGCAGGTGGCTCTGTGCCTAATCCAGCTGAGGTGAGGTGGGCCTCCTTGTCAGGTCCTCAGGGGTCCAAGGACCACCCTCTGGAGCCCAATGAGTCAGTTCCTCCCTCTTTGCCAAGATGACTTCAATGCCCTCACCATGCCCTTGACCTCTAGGCCACTCCACCCCAGTTCCCCACACTGCTCTTCGGGGATGACGTTTCTAGTCTCCTCTCCACCCAGGCCTCCTTCCTCTGGGGGATGCACTCTGGTCTGTTACCACCTTCTGGAAATACATGAGCTATCCAGATCAGGGCACAGCTCTCTAGATGAAGTGGCTCAGCAGGGAGAGTGGCTTCTGCCTCTGATGGCAACAAAGGCCATGATAAAGCAGAGCAGATCAGACGCTTTCTGGGAATGGAGACCCAGATGGGAGCGCGTCGCACTAAAGCTGGAGCACAAGCCAAAAACCAGCCCAGGTCAGCAGCTCCCACAAAAACATTCTCTGGTTGTTTGTAGGTCAATAGGCTTGGGGGGCACCCAGCTTGTCCTTGGTGGACACAGAGGTGAGATGGACCTTGCAGGGAGCAACACCTTAACCAGTAATCTGGACGAAGCCAGGGGTGAGTCTGCAAACACTGGGAAGCCAGCAGCAGGTGTGCATCAAAACACCCAGGATGTGAAAAGCTGGTCTTCTGACAACATGCAGGCCCTGCTATAAGCTCTCAGGTGAAGGGCTGGTGATCCAGGCATATAATAAATAGTTATATGAGGGACCTCTAAACTCAAGAGTTTGCAAGTGATGTCTGGGCAGCATGTGAGTGGTTCCTGAATATATGACATCAAATGAGCAGCGATGGGCTTGGTTCTCTCTGTGCTAGTAGTCTCCAGCCTCCAAGCCCTGAGGCTGGCTGGCCTATCCCTTGCATCATATGGTTTCTCTCCACTCTCAGTTGATGGCCCCAGTTTCTGGAGCAGCCACCTGCCACCCTGCCAGCCCTGCTGACCCCTTTCAGACCACTCACCATCAATCACCCTCTTTACTCGCCAGATTCGGAGCATGATGATGAGGCTGATGGCGTCCCAGGGGCTCCTGGGCCCATTGGCCACGGTGGACGCCACCATCGGGGCCAAGGACAGGATGATCACAGCCCCATCGAATACCTGTGAGAGGAGGCAGACTTCAGTGCTCTGGGCCACCTTCTTCAATGTCCAGGAACCAGGTCAGGCAAAGCAGCTGGTGCTGGACAACTTCTCCAGGAGGACTGTCCCCATATCAGAATGTGACCCCCATCACTGGCTGCCCCTCCTGACCCTCCTCAGTCTTTAGGGGTCTCCCCGCTCCTAAATGTGCTCCTGAACACTCTCTTTCCTCCAAGTGACCTCAGCCCATCTCCAGCTTTTGTTCAGATGGCCTTTGGGTGTTCCAAGCGTCTGTTTCCAGTATCTTGTCCTTTTTGGGATGGGGCCTGAATCCTGTGTCCTAGGGTTCCTGCTCCAGCCTCACTGAATCCCTCACTGGCATCTGGGGCTGAAGGCAGGCCCTTTCCCCTTGGGTAGCCCCAAGCCCACATCTCATCTCCATCTGGTGCCGGTGCTAAGTCCCTAACCGCACAGGGAGGCAGGGCTAAGAGAGGAGGGGGCCCAGCCTAGGTGATTCACCCCTGGGCCCTGACCTTCCATCTGTCTGTTCCAGCCTGACCTTGGTCTGAGACTTCTATGGGCCAGGCCTCTATGTCTGCTCCTGGCATTAGGCCAAAAAAGGCTAACAAGTGGATGTGGGGGTAAGGAAGGAGTGGGCAGCAGACGCTGACCACCTTGCCTTGTCCCATGTGCACAAAACTCCCAGCAACAGCCAGGCCTCCCCGACACCTCATCTCCACCACTTTTACAGGAGGCAGAGCAGTGGGTTTGCTCAGCAGAAACCCAGGCTGAGAAGCACTTTTACAATTTCCTTCTCAGCTCTCCGACCATGGGGCCATTTTAGGGTAGATTTATTTGTTTTAAAACACATCTCAAAAGCTTTCCAAAATGATTCAAGAATAACTTTTTAAATTTTGCAGAACTTGAAGGAGATTTCTTTAGATCGTCCCTTCACTGGAAACTTTCTCAGTTGGCCCCTCCCCACCCACCCAACAGGCACAGCTGAAGAGACTTCTGCGTCCAGTATGGGAAGGAGACAGCCTTTTTTGATGGTTGCCACCCTGGAATGGATGGGACAGCGACATTTTCCAGCTTCCAAGATGGCTGGCTTGGGCTTTGGGGGTGGACGTTGATCTTTACCTCTATTTTGTTTTCGATGTAATCCCAGATGCCAAGCACCACAATCCTTAGAACAGTCTGAGGAGAGGAAGTGAGAGAAGAGGTTATGGTTATTGCTCTCCAGCCCCTGCCCTCTCCCTCACCAAGAGAATATTCCAGAGCTCAGAATCCAGGGCTCTGCTTCCATGTTCAATAATGGGAAAATGACTTCACCACGCCCTGAGTGTTTCTCAGCCCACGTGCCCTCTCCACTCCCATTTTGAGTGCCCTAGCTCGTGTCTGAGTCATCATCTGTGCCAGCCCCTCACTTAACACCCTTCAGTGCTCCCAGTACATACAGAATATATTCCAAATCCCTTGGAATGATACTCAAGACCCTGCTTTCCTCTTCAGTCATCTCCTGTACTCCTGTCACGCCACAAACCACTTGCAAATCTACAAACATCCAAGCTTTCTCCTATTGCCTTGTCTTTGCGTGTGGCAGACTGCCTGTTGACTCCTCTCCCCCCAGTCTCTCTTGTCTACTTCTTGTATGATACTTGGAGCTTCAGCATGACCACTCTGCTAAAGACCACATTTCCCAGCCTTCCTTGCATCCAGGAGTGGCCATGTGATAAAGTTCTGGTCAATGGTTTGTGAGCAGAAACTGTGTATGCAACTTCCTGGTTACACCCTTCAGGGGATTAGGCTCTTCTTCTTTCCCTCTTCCCAAAGAGTAGAATGTGGGTGCGTAGGTATAGTGATGAGGAATCTGAAACTGGGGAGGGCTGGGCAACAAGATGGACACCAGGCCCAAGCTACCACCCCAGTCTTAACTGCTTACCCCACCTATCCTTCCATGAGAGAGAAATGAACCCTGCCTTGTTTAAGCCCCTGTTTTTGGTTTTCTTGTGACAGCAGCTTGGCCTGTGTGCTAACCAGCAGGGCCCTTGCCCTTTTCTCTACCTGGCAAAGGCCTTCCTGTCCTGCCAGCCTCAGCTCACATGTCACCTCCATGAAGCTCTTCCACGCTCCCCAGGTTCAGTGCTTCTTCCTTTGGTGTTCCTCTAGTCCTTGGAACATCACCTTCCCACAGCACTTCATTGTACCTTGTGGTGATGACCTGCCTGATGCCCCAATTAAGGCTCAAGAGACACTGTCTAATTTCTCTCCTTTACCCCTAATCCCTGGCATAGAGTAGACACTAGTGATTACACACTGTGAACGCATGAATGACTAAAACCCTCTGTATGAACCCCTTAAAACCCTCAGTAATCACTCCAATGCTGCTCCCTTCAGGAATGGTTTCCTCACCAAGTGTACAGTCATGCGTCACTTAATTCTGGGGATACCTTCTGAGAAATGACTGATTAGGTGATTTCGTTGTTATGTGAACATCATAGAATGTACTTACACAAACCTAGATGGTATAGCCTACTAGAAACCTAGGCTATACAGTACTAGTCTCATGAGACCACTGTCATATATGCGGTCCACCACTGACCAAAGCGTCCTAATGGGTGCATGACTGTACATCTTTCTCCAAAGAGGATACCTAAAAGCTGGTCTCGTATTATCCTGGCACATTTGTCTGTAGGTCCTTCCTTGAACCAAGATGACTAATTCACAGTAATTCACACCAGATGGTGTCCCTTCTCCCACATGCCTGTAGTTCAGGCTAGCCATCTGAACTTAGTGAAACTGCAGAAAGTCCATGGATCTCCACTCACACTTGTTATGTTACAAGAAGACTTGGCTGATAAAATTCACCTCTTCCTTTTATAAAAGAGTACCCTGATTTCCTTGAGAGGCTGAGAAGGTGGAATGCTGACGGCAGCCACTTACGTCACCATCTCTGAGAACAGAGACAGACATGCTCTGGGCTGGGAGACTGATGCTTAACTGCAAGATAGCACTGAAGAGGTGGAGAGACATCTGGGTTGGGGTCCAAGATATCTTAAGGTCACAGCTCAGTAATGGGCTGGGTGTGTGGCCTTGAGCAAGTCAGATCTCCTCTCTAGGCCTCAGTTTCCTCTTCTGCTTGAGAGATGGGTTAGATGATATGAATCTTCCAATTCTCTATGAGACTAACAGCTGCCATCTAGTACATAAAAGACTGGGCCAGTCCTCCTCACTTGTGATTCTCGCTGTACAGAGAGGGAAGCTAAAGCTCAGAGAGGTTAAGGAAGCTGCCCAAGGTCGCTCAGACATTAGGTGGTGAAGATGACATGTGGACCCAGAGGTTTTTGACTCTGCATAAGAGTACTCAAGCTGTGTAAGAACACACATAGTGTCCTGGTTTCTTTTGTTGCTGTTCACTCCCTCTAATTGTGCTGAACTTGAAACTTGGTGTTTGTCTCCTCTGAAATGTTACACTAGCGACCTCCACCCCAAAATCCCAGTTCTGGGGCTCCCAGAGCAGAAATCCCAGGCTAGGACAGAGGGGAACAGGACCTGGTCCAAATAAGATCTCTCCTGCTGCTGCTTCTCCTCCTCCTTCTATTAAAAGTGTGGTAAAATACACATAACATGAAATTTACCATTTTAACCATTTTAAAAAGTGTACTGTGGCATTAAGTATGTTCATATTGTCATGCAACCATCACCATCATCCGTCTCCAGAACTTTTTCATCATCCTAAACTGAGGCTCTACACCCATTAAACACTAACGCTCCATTCCCCCTCCTGCCAGCCCCTGGAAACCACGCTTCTGCTTTCTGTCTCTAGGAGTTTGACTACTCTAGGAACCTCATATAAAAGGAATCATCCTGCTTCTTTATAAACAAGGCGGCGCTTAGCTGACAAGGAGTACAGGGTGGGGGGATGAGGAAGGAAGCTGGCCAGGCAGGAGACTCAGCTAGAAACCCCTGAGAGGGGAGGGACAGGCAACAGACAGCACACACAGAGCCTCTGTGGTCTACGAAGGGATGGAGGTTTAACGGGTTTATGGGCCAAAGCTGTGCCATGGAAGCAAGTGGAGCAGCAGGAGCACTGGCCACCTGCCTCTCCTCTTTGCTGGCCATCCACATGGGACCCATCCTCCGAGGCTTGTCTCACACCCCCCTCCTCTGGGGAGCCTTTACCTCCCATCCCAGCTCAGCCCAGCCCATGGAAACAGAAGAGCCAAAAGCAGCTATGGAGAGGGCTCGGGAAACACCTCCTGGTCCAGCCGCCTGCTGTAGATGGGAAATGGTGGCCTGGAAATGTCAGGGTGAGAACTCAGCTCTGAAACACCCCACCTGGTGACTTGTCCTCTGCAGCGTCCTTTGCTGAGATCCCCTGTCTATGGAGGCAGGGACCTGGCCACACTGCCCTGCCACCTCATGGTACCCAGCACAGGTCTTACACCTCTGAAAACACAGGCTGACCAAGCCACTGAGGGCTTGTGTTTCTCAACATGCAGGCAAGAACCCCTTGCTTCAGCAACATCTAGGGGTTTTGTTTAAAATGCAAATTCCTGGGCTCTCATGGAGATGCAGGACATCAGAATCTCTGGCTGCAGGGCCCAGGAATATGCCTTTTTAACAAACTCCCCTGGGGTACCCAACAGAACAGTAGGGATGTGTAAGATGACAACGCCCTGGGGGAAAATAGGGAGGTCACAAGCCCACATACGGCAAGGAGAAAGAGCATTAGATCAGGAGTCAAAAGTCAGATCCCCTTTCTGGCTCTGACTATCCCTTACTAACCATGTGACATTGGCTGAATCCCTCAGCCGACCTGGAAGAAAATGGAACTAGTGCCCCTCACGCTGCCCACCCCATCGGGCTGCTACAAAGCTCCCCTGGGAAAGAGCTTTGATAATAGAAGTGCAGGAGGGCAACAACGACGGGTATTTTATCACCCACCCCACCCCCAGGGCCCTTGGCGTTGCAATCCTGCCCCCAAGAGTTCAAAGCACTTTGAGGGAGGATCTGAGGGAACTGGACTCCGTAGTTCTAGCTACCTCTTTCCTACCTGGGATATGAGTTTTCAGCCTCCTTCATTCCAACCTTGCCTTCTGGAGAAGAGGATGCTCTGATATGAGAGAGAGGCCAGAGTTGTGGCAAAACATTGAGGATGGCACCATTTATTGAATATTTACTATAAGCCTAGCTCTTATGCCATTTTACAGATGCAGAAACTGAGGCTCAGAGAGAGGCAGGTTAATCTTCTGGTCCCCAGGTCCCTCTTCTTTCCCACCCCAGGTGCTCTCATCTTTTCCCTCAGCCAGCCCTGCTCTCAGGAAGGACTCCCTTCATCTCTCCAGGGAAGGGGTAAAGGCTTCAGGCAAGAGGGGAGGGTGGGAAATCCTGACCGTTGCATCTGCTCCAGGCCCTGCCTCAGTCAGGTGGCAGCAAGGGCCTTCTGCCCATCCCACTGCCTGAGCCCCTCCTCTTAGGGTCATCAGCCTCTTTCCCTGGGATGCAGCCTGATGAGGCTCGTAGGGTTTGGCAACCTTGAGGGATGCAGGCAGAAGCAGCTGCTAGTCTAGAAGATGCCTTTGTGCAAATTTTTAAAAGGCACCCCCTCTTCAGGCAGAAAGTGGCCCCCGTGCTGACCACTTGGTGAGTAGAGTTGGAGCTGGCACCCTTGCTCCCTGCCCAAAGCTGGGCCCACCAGCTCGGGAGAAGGGAGCAGCACACCTCTAGCCCTGAGCCCATGCCCCCAAAATGCTGCAGCCCATTGGCATGGGGAGTGGGGTGGTGCAAGGCTCATGGGAGCAGGCTGGCCTAAAGAAAATCCACAGTGGGTACCAGGGGCTGGGGGCTGATCCCTGGCACTTCCTTAAGAAGCAGATTTGCTCTTCTGCAAGTTTTCACTGCCAACATGGCTGCTAGGCACCCCCGCCTCCCCCCCGCCAAAGCAGCAGGAGGAAGACAGGGAGTCCAGGATATAGCTACAAGGAAAAAGTAAGAAACGTGAGAACCTTTTGCAGGGGCTGAAAGCAGTCTTGAACTGGTGTGTAAAAGAAAGGTTGGCAGGGCGACAAGAGCTGGTTGAAGGGTGACTGCAAGGCACCCCCTAAGGTTAGGCATTGATAAAACAGGAGCAAAGTGACCAGCCTCCCCATCACTCCTCCAGGCTCACACCCTCCAAATCTGTGGGGATGGAGCAC